GCGAATTGAATGCCCTTCAAAATGATGTGCCACTTGACCCCCCTTTCCATTTGAAATTCTGAGGGTAACATCCACCCCTCCTAGGGGGTTGAACCCCGAGGGTTGAAAATATTCATTCAGAGTGTCCCCCTTGCAAATAAAGTAGACCTGTCTGACCATTTTTTCATATTATGTACTGGAAGGGAGATATTGAGGGTGGGAAGTTTTCAAATTGACACACTGTATATTGACACCAGAAAATATTTTTTGAAAAACTTACACATATACAAACATACAAAGGCATAATACAGATTTACAAATAATGTATAAGATTTGTTAGTCACATATATGATCGACATATTATTCTTGATTTATTGAATTATTTGTTCTATAATAATCAATTTAGTTCCTGAATGATTTCATCATTGACATAAGCAATAACAAGTAATGAGACAAGAAAAAGAATATTTGATAGGAATATCAAAATTTTGTTAATACATTCCTATATTTATATTGCCCTTCTACGAATAACGATTATTAGGTTTTTCTAAGTTTACTCATACTATTATTAATGAGTTGAATGTTTCAATATCAGTGACCAAGGTGAATAATTGACATTTTTTGGATTTTATTCAGGAATTTGAAAAGTAGGAACCAATTTCTCCAGTTGATAGACATTCAGTGGAAGGCATGTTATGAAAATTCAATTATTTTTGGATTCAGTGGACCTTCAGCAGAAAAAAGTAAAATCACACATCAAACTAAAACTTACTTCTGAAATGTAAACATTCACAGTTGTGAATTTACGTTTTTGTCTGATTTTACGAAGTAAAATCCACACATCATTGAAATTTTATTACGATAATTCTATAAAAACTTGCAACTAATTGCCAACGTTTTTTTATGTAATTCTACACTTTCCATTTCACCGTGTACCCTAGTTTACTCAAGGAAAACGCAACAATCCTACAAGCACAAGAAAGTTCGATACTGCCATTTTGTGTTGTAGACAATGGTGGGACCTATCAAAAATATATCCAAAAGTACTGGTATTCCTTCTGTCTATATCAAATTCAAACTCCTGGTTACTCCCAATCACTAAGACATCCATGAATAGAAACTCCTCGTTGTTTTGAATTTCATATGTGAACTCAGTGTTTTGGGATCTGTTATTAGGAATCGAAACAAAATCGTCCAAGTTCAATTTCTTTGTATCAAAAATCGCGAATACACGGTCAACATTTTGGATCGAAGTCCGTGAAAAGTACTTCAACTCCTCGCGTGCTTCCAATTCAAACTGCTCATGAACTAATTAGGTATAAGGGTGACAGAAGGCTTCCCACTGCCATGCCTTCACTCTGTTTGTAGAAATGAAAGCAATTCTGTTCATTGCAGATTTTTGTTTACTTTATGTAGTAGATCAGAGGATCCATCAAATATTCAATAGTTTTTTCTATAGGGACATTGGAAATAACGAGGATACATCAAATGATACTGAAATCTCTCCATCTCGCAACTTTACTTTCTCAGCAGTCTTTATGGAATCATAAGAATTAACAACCCTCGAACGCAATTGTGAGATTGAGACAGTTTCAAACTGTTTGGTTAGTCATTTAGCAATTTCATAAGTAGAAGAACTCAGGAGGAAGTGTCAAACCAAACAGTTGTTGAACTACAGTAGGGATAAGCTACGATATCTAACATGCCTTCTTACAGGTCACTGTCATTTGACTTATCATATGCAGAGACTCCTACTGTCGGAAGACAGTGTGTGCCGCCTCTATTTGGAAAATGATGAAACAGCAGAACACATACTTTGTGCCTGCCCCGCTGGGACCGAATCAGGTTCTTAGAGTTCGGCAGATCCGTACTCTTACCATCTGACCTGAAAGACCACTCACCATACACACTAATCGGCTTAGTTGAGAAGCTGGGTTTATTTGATCTAGTGTGAATAAGTGTGAGTCACAATAAACTCTTGCTGGTTGCGGTGGAGGGTCGAATAGATCCACTTACTTTGGACCTAACCTAACCTAGTTAAAGAAAAATATTCATTTTAGAGTTAGGAATTAGTTTTTTTCATCTCCTGAAGACGTCAACTTCGTTAGTGAAACGAGCCTCGAGGAGAGTATTGAATGTCTGGTAATTAAAAAAGTGCTTGTTTTGGGACCATATTTCAATAAACTTTAGTCATTCAGTTATTTTTAAAAAAAAGTTCAATTGAATTCACACTTCATCGTCAGATTATCACTACATAGTTTTACAAAAACTCAAAACGTTTTTCTTTATGCAAAAGTTTTTTCAGGCGTGTCTATACATGCCTAGAAACGTCTGAATAAGCACGGGTTTCGCTATACATCATTTTTTCAGACGTGTCTATACACGCCTAGACTCGCCAGAAGAAGCTATTGTATAGCAAAACAAGTGGATTTTTATCAAGTATTGGCCTATTTCATCATATATCTTAACTAAACGTATTGCATAGTCTGTAAGGTGGCTTCACAAATCATTAATGGAAATTGTTGCTTGAAATATTCTGTTTTCTGATTACTTTGCCAAATTGAATGTGTTACCTTCAATGTGATATTTCCGTTCATTTTCAGCTAGACCGTCATACTCACGACCTTCATACTCACGCCCCTCCTATCACCCTTCCCCCTCTTATCACCCATCCCCGTCGTACCATCCCTCACCATCGTACCATCCCTCACCATCGTATCATCCATCACCATCATACCATCCTTCCCCCTCACACACTCCTTCATCGCCATCTCACCCATCTGCCCCAAAACCATCACCCTCTCGTCCTTCCTCAGTTCACCCGTCCCCAGGAAGTCTTTCTTATCCTGATTATCACCCACCGCCGGCTCCCCCTGCATATCGACCTCCAGGATACGGAAGTGGAACTGTGAGACCCATTGGGTTTAACCCACCAAGCAGCCACCCGTCTGCACCTCATCCGTCTGCACCTGTTGGACCACCGAAGCAGAGCTCTCCATTGGGAAATGCTCCCGAGACAGGTAATTTGAGTTATCTAGTTCACAATATCAAATAGGTGTTCATAAAAGGTAAAGCTTTGAAATATATGAACTAGCTCATTTGATTCAGAATGACGTCCAAGGAAACGGGTTTTTGATGATTTTACAGCACACAAAAATAACTGCATGATTATCATTGATATTAATTATTGAAACTTTTTTTATTCATTATATTATCATTCATTGTTATTATTTNGCTCATCAATGTAAACTTTTCTTCCTGAGTTTTATGCAAAGAGAACCAATTGATGATGGTCCATAGAGAAGATAGACTCGTAATTAAAGTGTATTTTATTTCATATATATGTGACGGATGATATCTGAGAGTGATAATACTAATGTGTGATGATAGAATCTGCGTAGTGATCTGAAGTTAATAGTAATCTTTATATCCCCAACTTCTAAGGCGCTTACAACCTAGTGGTTGATCTGCGAATTGAATCAATTCGCGACCGCGAATTAAAATATTCCGCCGAAAGAAACGCGGATCCGTGGCCATGGCCGCGGGTACACGACAGTGGTGGCGAATCCGTAAATCAATTCATACATCGCTGATTCGCGGTTGGACCTGCATCATTATTTCAATGGCGGACGCGGAATTTGTTACGCGGATCATGAAATTTGATGCAGGGTGTAGTTGATATTCATTCTAAATTGTAGAAAAAATTTCATTGTAGTAACTATGTTCCGTGCAAATTCGAAAAAAACCTGATAATACAATTATAAGATATCACCCCTGTTTTGACGTACGATTGTTTTATCGTCCGTATTTAAGTTACACACAAGGCTTGCACTAAGTCTTGTGTCAAATAAAAGGAATGCGAAGATAGCACAGACAAGTGTTTATTTCAACTGTTCTCTACAAAGGTTCAACTTATACTAACTTAATTTTAAATTTACAATATCGAACTGAGATTTGTGATGGATTACGGAGCAATAAGGTAAGCTGGCCATTTATAAGCTTTTAAGGATTTTGAGGGATACAATCTTAGGTATAAAATCTAATTAAAATTCAAATGCTTAAGAATTTCGAAGTACTAATCTTACGGCTTGGTATTTTATAACTCAATCCCGTTAAAAGGCGCAATATGATAAAAATAATAAAGATGTGAATTTAATAAAAATTGTACTATCAATATAATAATTGAGATGAGACTCAACAATTTCTTCTTCTGTTGGAGGATAGATGAAAAGTGAATTTACGGTAGTAGGGGATTTATCCAGATGTGTCGAGAAATGAGCTTTCGAAGGTGGAATTTCGTTGATTATTTCATTTACAATATTGTATATCTTTGAAAACACACTGCACTTATCAGATTTAAAACTCAAAGAATGCATTTATTCTGCACTTCAAGTTGATGAAAGTACCGATGTTACATGGCGCAGCTACTTGTTTTCGCTTGAACTCAATTCTATCATATGCTGTGAGACACAAGATTATTCTCCTTGATGTGTGAAGAAATGGGTGGCAAGATCAAGATTTCACCCCTGCATACATAAGTAAGGTGGTTATCTCGGAGGAAAATTTAGATCCGTCTGAGATCAGAAGTTTTTTTGTTTTTAAGTGAAAAAAATAATTACTTCAGACCTAGATTCTCTCGTCAAGAGAAACGGTATCTCAAGACGAGAGTGAAATTTTCTTTCAAATTGGTCGATAAAAGATGAGAAAAGGCATTTCCTTGTCTTGTTGCCACAAGAGGCAACACTACTTTTTTGTTTTTTTTAAAGGACAAAATACAAGCACTACAGGAAAATCTTCAAGGCGCTCTCAGAGCGGTGCCTGTGCGAAAGTGGCGATTCACATTGGATTTGAATCGCTGAAGATTAAGTCCATTTGGAAAAACGATCTCAAGAAGTTTATTCCACATAAACGCAGTTCTCCATATAAAAGAGTTCTCAAACAGTGAAGTTCGAAGTGTACTGAGTTCTGATATGTACCGCTCTTGGTGGAATCACCCTTTCTTCGATGTTCCAGGCTATCATGGTTGCACGTGATGTTAGCGTACCCAATCAGGCGGATAGCTTTCTTCTGGATGGAGTCCAGCAACTTCAAAGTATGTTTGGGGCAGATCTCCATACATAAGAACAATAATCTAGAGAAGGTCTTCAGATATGATCTGAGCATCAGAAGTTGCTGAGGTGTGTATAGTTTTCTGGTTTGGAATAGTGTTCCAAGCTTTTGAGAAGCAGCCTTTGCAATTCCAGCGACATGATTGTGCCCAGACATATTGTTGTTCATTTTAACCCCCAACAAACATATCGAAGCAGATAGCGGAATTGTCTGACCTGACATCATCATATCCAGTTCGGAGACATTCATCTTCTTGGAGAAACCCGATGCCTGGATTTTTATGGCATTTCTCTTCCGCTGTCATATATATATTTCATATTGTTTTTTTAATCTTGGATGTCTGGAAAAGGAGTATTCCGCTTTTTTTAGACGCACCTATGGAATTGGTCTGATGTATTATATACTGGAATCTGACGTATTTGTTTTACATAAGTAGGTTCTTGTGTTATTATCAGTAGTTAATGACAGCATATTTGGCGACTATGATGGTAACAATAGTTTTCAGCTCTCAGTATGAGGTATATTAGACTTGCAATTGCCTCATTAATTGAATCGCAAAATTTCAAAATTTGTATTTGTTTAACATTGCTAATGATTAAAGAATAAGTTTTTGAATTTGTGGTCTTGGTCACTTCTTTCAGATCACTTATTCATATATTACAAATTTGATGAAATTCGTCATCAATTTAGTTGTTCCATCCAATTCGCGCTTTCCAAATATCATTTAATGAAATCAGTATGTGTCATTTCTTCGAATTGAGGCCTTTTTATTTGATTACTGTAGTATTCAATTCAATTCAAAAAGCGGGTGGCGGAGTGGAACGGTATCATTTTAAGAATAAGATTTTACATATCTCAAGTTGTACTGTAGGAAATAAATTAAAGGTTTGAAACTTAACCTGTTGGAGAGTATGGAAATAAACAAATTCAAAAACTCCCAACATCTTATGAACGATCAAACTGAATTGAATAATTCGCCATTACTGAATCTGTTCATTCGCAAATAAAAATAATTAGGTATATTTACAGGTATACTTTCGAAAAATGTCTTGATATTGTTGAAGAATTCATACCTGACCTTTTCAGGTAGATTTATTAATTAGGTAGACGAATAGGTACTAGGTTATAGTATAAAATGGTGTAATTTAGAAGTAACTCTCAGTTTATGCTTGAAGAAGCTTTTGTATAGCGAAACACGTGTCGGTTTTTGTAAAACCCTCATAGTGAAAATCATATAATCATATCACATGAACTGTATTGATTAGTTTTGTTACTGTTACTTCTGGACCATACCGTGAAACTTTCATATGATTGAATATATTAAATCATAATTTCTAAAAGAAGATACAAATTTCTTACTGAATATTTCAACATATATCAGTTGCTTTTCACCATGATTTATTCTGGATGATTCAACTGAAGCACAATGAAAGATCATTTTCACTGAACGATGTAATTCATTAGCGATTGTGTAAAACTTCATTGAGTTTGTTCCAAACGGTGAAGCGTTTGTAATTGTTATTCCACAAGAATTCTGTTTAAAAAATCTGTGTAGAATCTGTTTTTCCGTTGACCAGACGATGAATCCGCAAGAACAACCATCCTCAGGAGTCGAAACTTGTACTAGTTGAGGATGAACGAAGTATTACTTTTCAATATGCAATTCCTAGCACGGGTGGGACGTTAGGCAATGCCAAAATTGATTGTCTATCTAGCCTTGCGGCTCGCACCACCGTTTCACTTGACAGTCTGTTATATGAGTGGAACAAACCACTCACGCCAACCCAACCAGCTACCGTGCTAATCATTGTTAACTTATACGACATCTACAGAAGTATTGCCAAAGTTGACAGCAACATTGACATCATTTTCAATGTAGGAAAATCATTTTCATTTGAGAAACTATCACCTAGCAAATGAGCCTTTTCGGATGTCAGTTCTGAGACAAACCCAATAAGTCCAATCACTCCAAAAATAGAATGAAAGAAACTTATAACATTATTAAATACTGCTGGTTGAAAAGTTGAACGTGGAAGTAGCTTGTACAACTGCCCGATCACTTCAACAAATATAAAGTAACCTTTCAAACAAGATGTTGGAAAATAAACAGGCTAGGATATATGAAATGATGTGTGAGAACTGCGAGAAAAGATATATTGGCCGGACTAAACGAATAAATAAAATTCATTCCGAAGAACACAGACCACACATTCAATTTCGGAGACCAAAAATGGCCATAGAATAAATAATCAATACTGCCTAATATGGCCGAGAGATCGCTACACTACTCTTTTGACACCAAATATGATTTATATTGAACTTTGTTACTCTTCTTAGAAATTGGTTTATATGCTTTTAAAAAACATATTTTCATCGTATATCTTTTTTATGCTGAAATTTTGACAATATCGTCAAGTCTATGACAATTTTCCAGTGATTTACACAATATTCCGGTAATTGTAATCAAATTTGCAAAATATGATTGATCCACCGATGCGCGCTTTATGATGATAATTTCATGCAAATATCGAGAGAGACTTCATGAGCTCATGTTATCTACATAATATATTCCGTAAAACACTGGATATGAATAATGATTTTCGTGGAACAAGAGCTGAATGGAATTTTCAGAGTTTCACTCATATTCAAGAATATTTATGGTCCTCATTATCCAACTTGAGATTAGCAATTCCTTGGTTGGGAATCGTTTGTCATCTCCACGTCAGTTTAATGTAGGACACCAGAAGAATATCAGCAATTGAATTTTGTTAAAGGGCTTCTCTTTCGTTTCCGACGAACATATTTCTGTACAATTCAAAAAAACAAATTTGAATAATTCATTATTTTTTGGTTCAAGATTATTTATTATTCATGTACTGTACCAAATAGGGGTTGGTTCAGAAAAACAAAT